AGAGAGAGAGAAAAAGAGAGAGAGAGAACGAGAGATAGGAGCTGCGAGCCAGCGGGGACCGGGGGAGACAGACGAGGGGGCAATCGGGAGCTGGAAGGGTGCCCGGACGTCCCTGAGGACACCCGTTCCCCCGGACCCCCAACCCCCTCGCCACTACCTCGACGCCCTGTTCGATCATCTACCGGAGAGGAGAAGACCGCTGCCTCCCACATTTATGAGCCTCAATGGGTATTGTGTTTTAAAGAGAACATAGAGAATGGCGCGCGTGTTACACTTCCCACGTTCTTGGATATACTAATAGCGATTTCGGCACAGGGTGAAATAAACGGTAATGATTTTTGGGATACTAAGGTATATTTTACGACTATCAAAATTGATAGTAAAGCGAAAATTACTTTCTGACAAACTTCTCGTTTCGTAAAGGTCTGGGTCCACGTTGCTTGGTCCAAGTTCTGGTTTCAAAAAATGTATGGCCAATCAACTCGCGGCTATTCCATAAAAGCTGCAAGTTGATCGGCTACACAGCTCGGAACTAGAACTTGGACCAAGTTCCAGCATCGTGGACACAGGTCTTTGGAGTTAGATATCGAAGTCAGTATTTATAACATGTTGCATTATTCAGCTAAAATAAATAGTATATATTTTCACGAGTAAAGTGTTGGCGATGGGAAAGATAGTTACAGAAGAGCACGATCAAAAATCTCTTCTCTTCGTTAGCATATAAATCTCTGATAACAGCGCTATTTTTATCGAGATTATAATCGCTTCGTATAATCATAAAGTCGTAATCAATAATTATAAGGTCTGATATTATATTTCGTCGTGATTGAAAATGAAACTTTCGAAATTGGATGAATAATTTCCTACCCGGTGAAATCCGGAATTTGCGAAATAAATTTTACAATTCGATCACGATGAATCACCGTCGCTGGTCAGACACGAGAGAGGGAGAGAGAGAGAGAGAGGAGAACAGGTTGCTTGACACAGATCGCGCCGGGCTCGAAAATCGTCATCGGGAATGGGACGCGACTTGGAAAACGATCGGTGAATAGGCAAACTGCCGTCAAAGTTCTGGGTAGCGACTCGGCTCGGCTGCCGGCGGGACGCGGTTTAACTGGAAGTTGGCTCGAAGTGCAAATTAAGTTTAGCGGCCGTCCAGTTTGTAGCGTCCACTTTGCGTAACTCGGTCTAGTCGGTAATGTAACTTCATCGATGTGTTCCGCTAGAGCAAGTGCCAGTACAATCAGTCTGCCCCCCTCGCCTTCCCTCAAGCCTCTTTCCCCGCTGTATACCCGGTGTCTCTTTCTGTTTCGATTGCGCTGTTCTCTTCGTCGCGTTTTCCCCCCAGGATCTCTTTCGCGTTTCTTCCTTTGCGTATCATTGTCTCTCCCTTGAAAATTATCTCGATAACACGCGACTTTTCTCGGAAAGAAATCTTTCAAGGAGTTTATCAGTTTGAAATTGAAGAAGATGAAAGAATAAGATGAACGATTAATTGTGTATAATCTGATTTACGTATGTATTATATCTAGATATATTACTTCTCTCTATCTTTATGCTATCTGCTCTATTAAAGTTTCACGTGGTTTTTAAAGAATCGAGGCAAAAGATTGCTGTTCGAAATTGTTTCCCTTCTATCCCCTTGCTCAGCGAATAGTCACGTATAAATCTCGAAATTTCCCCGTAACATTTTACAGCGATTTCGCACGGCACGCCTTACGCCAATCGAGGCGCGGTCGAAAGTCGACGAGGGGACGAGTAGAAAAAAGATATCGTGTGTGCGCCCCCCCCCCCCCCCAGCAGAAGGAATCGAATTTTTACTTACAGGGGTGAGTCGGGGCGAAAGGATACTCCAGGGATGGCGGTAATCGCGGCGCTGGGAGGCCCGGGGGGCAGTGGTAGCAGAACATGCCTCCGGCCCTGGCCATGCCGCCCCCCGGCCCGCCGGCCCCTCCCGCGCCAGCACCCGGCACCTGCGGTTGACTCGACGGCTGTTGTTGCTGTTGCTGCTGTTGCTGGTGCTGGTGGTGGTTATTGTTCGACTGGTGGGCGTGGACCGCGCCAATCTGCAACCACCCGTCAGTGTCAGTTGATTTCATGATCTCTTCCGCGGTAAAAAAAAAAGAGAGAGGTATAGAGGAAGATTACCACAATCGCAGGTTCAAGCGAGCTTTTTTTCCCCACAATTGCGGGGGCTTTTACGTCGCGAAATAATATTTTTAGAACGAGAATGCGCTTAGTTCCGAACATTATTGCTGATTATCTCAATAGGTCGCCACGAATAAAAGCTTCTTTTGTCTTGAGCGGAGTTTATTAAAACTTTAATATTAATTGCTACTTTTTTTGTTCGAGGAAGTCGGCAATTTGTAGTCGGCGATTCGTACGGCCGAAAACGAGGCTTTTGTCACGTCGCGATTGCGAAGAATTACCGACAAACTCGGGCCTCCCCGTGAAATTAAATAATAGATACATCTCTAATCGCCTTATGTCGTGCCCACCCTTCCATCCGGTCAGATTTTTCTGGACCCGCCGTTGTGTACCGGGGAGTATCGCGATGGCCCTCGAAAAGCGGAGCATCGGAGCCACTTCCGATTTCGCCGTGCGACGCGCGGATTTTCGAAAGCGGGGTGAAACATGATTAAGAGGGAGCGCGACAGCGGCGTGCTGCAGCGGGGTGGGCGGTTATACGAGGGGGGGGGGGCAGGGACGCCGGGGTGGGTGAGGGCGCGGAGGGGACGGATGGGTGGCCGATTACGCCAATCCCCATTAGAGGGATTGTAAACTCGCGTAAATAAATAATGTATGTATCGGCGAGAGAGGAGCTGCACGCGGGATGAGAGCGCGAGCGAGGGAGTGAGAGAGCGCGGGAGAGCGGCGCGACGCGTAGAGGGCTCTTTGCCTAAGCAGGCATCGGTCGTGGAACTTAATAAACGGCGGAGTTATCAATTTATAATGGGTCGGCATGTCGCGCATGCGCGTGCCTACGGGGCCCCGCCGTTTCTCTCTCGTTATATAACGGCGTGCACGCGAGTGGCTTTAGAGAACCGGTGTACACTAACTATACCCCCGGTCCCCCTCATCACCGACGGCCCCCCTTCCGCGCCCTCCGGGCGCCCGCGTCCGCCGTTAGCCCCCTCCCGTTATCTCTATGCGGCTGTTTATCTCACTCGCTCCATCACGACGTCTCCCCTTCATCTCTCGCCTCTCCCTTTATCCGCTGCTGCCGCACTATGTCTCTCCTCCTCTCTTTGCGGCTCTCCAGTACGAAGGGACAAATTGAATTTTAGATCATGGCGTGTTCCTGTGGGGTCCGCGAATAGAGAGGGACAGAGAGAGAGAGAGAGAGAGAGAGAGAGAGAGAGAGAGAGAGAGAGAGAGAGGAGAGAAGGGGGAGAGGGAGGGAGAAGCGCAGAGGCGGACGTCGAGATGATACTAATTGAAATTTGAAATTGATATTAGCGAATTATTACCCCTCTCCCGTCGTTCTGCTTGGCCCAACGCAATTACGGCCGCGTGTCGGGTATCAAAAGTAATTGCTGCCAAACTTAACAAAATTCGAGCAATTCTCGTTTCGGCCGTCTGACCTCCGGCGAAAACGTCGCGTCGACTCTGTATAGCGGGTCCTCCCTTCCCTGCACATACACGCCTAAACGTGCTCCTACGAAATATATTTTTAACGTGACACCAAATCGCGTTAGTTGTCGGCGCTTGGTAGGTTCCCAATAAAAGCGCACACACCCTTGATACATTCAGCTTACAATTGAAGCTTACCATTGAAGCGCTCTTCAACGCTCAATTTTAACCGATTGCATTTGTTCGTCCGTAATCTGACAAAGTTTGGATATTTTAAAATATCCGTAGTTCCCGCATTGCGAAAAATTAATTGGGGGGGAGGGTAATAAGGGGTATTCATATTTGTTCTGTGTTGTGAGACTGACGAATATGTCGGCGCGCAGTTCTATTTCGAATTTTGTCACGACATGTTACTTTCGTGAAATAACGTTAGACTGTTTATTGCGATAAATATTACCACATACCTCGGTGGTCGAATTGGCGAGACGCCTGCCTAGTGAGAGATCCAGGTTCAAACCCTGGCTGAGATAAATTTTTCGCAATAAATTAAAATTATTTAGACACAACATCCTGTCTTGACTCTTATATCCTTTGTTACTTCGGTATTTGTGAAAAATTAATTAATTATTTAAATACAATAGATATTTCTCCAGTTACCATTCTCGATTATATTAACAGAATAGAGCATAAATTTCTTCGCGAAATTCGGAACTCTAGAAGTCCGAGAAGATACATATCTCTTATCTCAAAAGGAATCCGGTGACGAACGTGTGTCGAGATGTAAAATTTAAAAAAAAAATACAAATTCGGAAATAAGCCATCAAGTATCCGACGGCTACTCGCGAAGTACTAACCGATTTATCGCGACACCGCGGTAGCTCGAGGAAACAATCGCGATCTATTCATCCCGCGTGCCCCTTAAATTCGTCCGCTGTGGGTGGCACGGCGGTGCCATTGGTTTTACGTTTGCCGAGAGTTAGAGGCATAATGACGGGACATACGCACCGACAGAAGGGACGAAATGTAGCGAGGCTAATCCGCGAGGGGGAACGTGGGGCCCGCGGGTGTCCCCGCGGCACGCGATGGAACCTCGCCGCGCGATCTCACCCTCGCTCGCGCCCTGGCATACGCGTCTCCCACTCCCCCCCTTCCCGCCGCTCGTCTCTTCTCACCCTGCGCGAAGTAGGGTGGTCGGCATGTGGTCCTAGAGTGTATTTGCGGTGTTCAACCAGCCGGGCGAAATATTATGCCAGTGTTTTATTGTGCGATCATCCCGACGGCGGTGCCCCACTGCGCGCGAGGGCGAAGGGATTGTGGCTACGAGTGTTGCGGCTACGAGTGTTTACACGTTGGCACACGCCGTCGGATTTGTTACACGCTCGTTATACGAGGCGCGTCCGCGTTTACCGGAGCCCGGCTCGGAAGGAGGCTCCGACGGCATTCGGGACTAGGAGCGACCGATTACGAATAGAATGGAGAACTCTCCCCTTACTAATTTGTCGCTGTAACGCGATATTATCTCGAAATTTCATTACTTAAACATTTAACGTTAGAAACGTCAGTGTTTTCTTGACCATACCTGGCGTTTTTAATAAGACAGAAAGTTTATTGCGAAAAATATTACCTCAGCCAGGGTTTGAACCTGGACCTTGCTACACTCTAGGCGGGCGTCTCACCAATTCGACCACCGAGGCATATGATAACATTTGTCGCAATAACAGTATAAAGATGTTGTCTGCGCGTCTATTTCGACTTTTTTTTAACTGCGCGCCGATAAGGGTTGTCGGCCGTACGCAGAACCAGGGAGTCTGTATAAGGAGACCGAACTAGGCTTGATTACGTCACCAAACATGGGCCGACATTATTGCAAAATATTGAATCAAAATTTTTGCCACTTGTAGCGTTGGCGTCGCACAAACGGATTAAGGATTCGCCCATGAGTTTACCGATCTTGACCTCACTGGCTCGTAGATACAGCGTATAACCGTTGTTATCTGGGGATCGATTTCTGGAACTTACGAAAATTACAAAAGTGAGTGACGGGAGCTCGGTCTCCTTATTCAGTCTCCATGCGCAGAACTGTCGATTACGCGATTTTTAAGCTTTTCCTCCCCCCTGCCCCCTTTACCAATTGCGCGGGAAACACCATACTTTGTAGGGCAATAGTGAATAATCAACTAATGAGAATTCTTCAATGTCGCCAGCGATAATTGACAACGTCAGTGTTTTCTTGACCATACCTTGACTAATGCCCGTTTCTACCAATGCAGATTAACTTTAATCTCAGCTTAAATTACTTCTTGTCCTTTTCCATTTTGTAAAACTAGAGAAAGATACAAAGCAAGTTGAACCGAGATTAAAGTTAAACCGCGTTGGTAGAAACGGGTATAGGTAAGGGCCATTTAACGTTAGAGTCTCGAACGTTGCGAGAGGCGCGAATGAAATGTTAAAAAAGGTTCGAGATTAATTCAAAATTTTACGATTGGACGAAAACGATTGATTCGAGACACGCGATAATTAATAGTCAAACATGCGTATGCATTTGCGCTGAGCGCACGCCACCCGGAGAATCGTCTTACGGGTTAGTTATCGTCGGCGATAACGCATAAATGCGTTAATGAAAGTTAAACCGGATAGGGGCGTATCGCGCTTTAGAGGGGTGAACAAAGACACGGTTCGGTGTGCCGCGCGCCGAGTGGGTGTCGGGTAGCCGAGTGTTTAGATTCCGCGCGTATAACACTGCGCGCTCATTAGAGCGCGGCGCTAATTGCATAATTGGTGCCGGCAATTACGAGCAAAGCGGTACCGCGTCGACGGCGGCGGCGGCGGCGGCGGCGGCTGGTGACGTCAACCTCCAATAATTCGGCACGCGACGACAATCGCACGCTTCCACCGCGCCATTGCGCAAATAGCGGGAATCGCAATTAAAAGCGATAATTCTGTAATTAGCTTCCCGTCGGGTCCTCTTTCCGCTTCCATGCCGACGCGAATGCGAGAGATACTCGATCTGTACGCAATCAGTTACTCAGAGACGCTTGAAATTAATAGAATTTTAGACACTCAATTAGTGTCAAGTCAAACAAATATACGCGTTGTACACTTTTCCGTGAAATGATACTTTGCAGCGGCGCTATCGCTCGCTGTAATAATCAAGGACAAAGTCTTTCGCGATAACGCACAACGGTGCGCATAATGTTAAAAAATATTTCTGGCCAAGTAAAAAAAAAAGATGTGCGGCAGTGATATAAAGTTTGCAATTATTACTTTCGCGATAGTTAAAGCGGCGAACTCGAAATAAATTTTTTTTCAGATTCTGTATCGTTTTGTAGAAAATAAT